GAATATAAACCCATTACACATCCACTGAAGATGTCAGATCAACATGAGTTTTTAATTTGAACAGAAAGGACAGGGCTCAGATGCCACTATAACATATATAAATCCAGGCCAGTCAACCAAGCTTCCTTTATGAACAGTAAAGACCTACTAAATGGATATTAGGACAAAATCAATTTCATCCAGGTTAATATCTAACATGGGCCAGACCTGAATAAAAATATTTCTAAACTTGGTCTCTGCAAGTGCCTTTTTCTGTCCACTGACTACAAAAAGCAATTCAGATGCCTGGTTTAGCTGTAGAAATCTATGTTACAGATGCCTAATGTTAGGTGAGATGACTCAACCATCAAGACAGATCTGTGGAGTAGTGACTGTAAGTCTCAAGAGCAGAGATGGTAGATTATTATACATGTGTGAGGCTTCACAGGGATAAAGTGCAAAGAGAACAAAACTCTTTTTGTGTGATTTTGTGTGTAAGTGCTACTCATCAATCTATGATGTATGTAATTGTTGCTTTCAGAATGGAAAGCTTCCTGCCCTAGAGGAGGAGGAGGCTAGAAGCTGAAACTACATAGCACATTGGCTATGCTAGCATAAGGAAAGCAGCAAAATTATTTCCCTAATGATTACAGTTAAGTCTAGTTCCAAGAATACTGTCTGTGTATCCAGCAAACTCTCTTGGACATGTACATTTCCTCTGGCTCTAAAGTACTAGGCTACAAAATACCATATAAGTGCATGAAATGTCCAGAGTTTTTTCCATGAAAAGAAAGCTTTCAGCACTGCAAAGCTGAGTGCAGACATCTTTTTTACTGCTGGCAAAGAACACGTGGGTGTTCTGTGTACATGGCACATCTGCAAATAGAGCAGGTCTGGCATGCAATTCTAAGTTGTCTCTTATTTCCCACCCAGATATCTTGCAGCTGCAAATGAAGGGTGTTTGATGATAAGCATGTTTAGAAAATAATTCTTTGTTAAGAAAACTAAAGCTCAACATTTGAGTTAGAATCTCACCATTGCAACAAACTAAATTGTGCCAGGATGATCCTTTGAATGGATAAATAAGAATTCTGTGGATAAATAAAACAATAAATGCTGCAAGGCAATGAATTTAAATTCTGTGGTCTCATAGTAAATCACTGTATTGTGCCTATATACAGGGAAAGGATAGAAAGCACTTTGTGACATGACATTTGGCCTCTACAAATAAATATTCATAAGTTACAAGCAAAGAGGAGAAACAAGAAACAAACAAAAATAGTTTGTAGCTCCACTAATTCCTGTGGTTAGAAAGTATTTGGATAATGATGGGATATCAATAATAACCAGGAAGCAGAACAATAAACAACATAAAATAGCAAAGTCAAAGTCAGCCAGCCCAGAGTTTTCCATCAAAGTCAGCTCAAAAAAAAAATAAATTAAAAAAGACAAATTTTAAATAACTATTGTAGATGAACTCACCACTGTGTTTCTACAGGCTGATGACATGATGACTGCTTTGAATTCAATGTGATGTAAAGCCAAACCAGCACACTGTTGACATAGACCTATTGTCTCGTACTAACAGAAACACTGTTCTGTTAATGGGAGAGGTCCTGGCTGATTCAGACCAGAATCTGAGACTGGAATAAGCCAATTGGAGCAGATTATTTGATTGTAGTGGAGAACTTTTATCCTCTCTCATCCCCAGGCCACAGATAAAACAAGTGTCGAATAGCCTATACAGTGAAGGACCAGAGCAATGAGTGGCACATAGAGGTTGTAATGAAATCCCTGAGGTCCGTAGAATTTTTCCTTGTGCAGAGACAATACAGGATCCATCTATATTAAGTCCTGCAGGATAGATCCTGTAAGATCTTAAGTCTAAATTTGTGCTGATGACAGTGGGGGGCCGGGGTGAAGAAGTGTGCTATAGCAATTGAATGTGCAGATCATGTGCAGCTGCTGTGGGGATGGCAACACATGATAATGCAGACAGAGACAATGGATGGTATCTGGGCAAGGGATCCCCTGTGCCAAGACTCATGTCAGTGATGTCACACCCTTGGCAGAGAGAGCTATGTAGCATCTCTCAAATGTCTATTTGGGGATGCAGACCACAGCTTTGGCCTGAATCGCCTTCATTTCACAGGGTCGTGAAAATGCCCTCAGACAAAAGAGCTGTTTCATTGTAGCACAGGGGCTGCCCAACTCCACCCAAGAGGCTGCTGTATAGCAGTAGCCCTTCTTATGTCACATCCCTTCATCAGCTTCTTGAGACAGAAAAGCCCCACATACTTACAAACATATTTATTCTGTTAGAATAGCAGATCCCCTTGTGGCTTATGTTTAAGTACCTACCTATGAATTTGGAAAAAATCTTAGCAATCTGCCTATGCATGAAATCCTACCATGCGGGGTTTTATTGTCGCATTACTATTGGTCATCTCTGCCCCTAGGCTGAAGCCTGAAGACATTCAATTCAATACAGCATTATTATCTGTGTATTCTCCTGTATTAAGGCCATTAGCAGGCTATATAAGTACCTAAGTGAAGCTCATGAGCAGTTTTAACATATTACTGAATTAACATTAAGTAAAATATATTTTGTGTTGAACTGCAATAGCCCAGCATCAGAAATAGGATGGTTCTCCCTGTGCTAGGTCCCTTTCAGAAAGGAAATCTAAATTCATCCTGACCATCATTTGGACATCTGAGAAAAGGTTTAGTAAAATGTCTAGCCAAGCCACAGAACTTTTTCACATCTGGATGTGTCCCATGTGCTAAACTGCTTCAGTCTGTGAACAATTCCAAAGTACACTCGGCATTATTATTGTAAAAAATGTAATGTTATATAACCAAATGTGAAAGCACATATTGTGGAATATTTTAGAAAGAACAACATGTTAAAACTGCACTTTTAAAACAAGGTTTGAATTTAACAGAGAAAATGGCCTCAACTGGTCTGCATATGTCAATAGTTTACTTTACGTAATCGGCTGAAGGCAGAGAAGCCTGCCAGGAAAACTGCTTTTAAAAATAAAATCACACTGGTGAAATGGGCTTTCTTCAGAGCAGAGGTGGGCCTCAGCTGCAAATATCATATCTGGCATGTTCAGAAGTTTGAAGCACTTAAATCCCAAGGTATTGCCCCACTACTTCTTTGAAACAGATTTAGAAGTTATCCTCGAGGAATTGAGAATGAGTCTTTCTTTATACAATGCAAAGAAATTCTGAAAGATTATAAAAATAAGATCTTGGGATGAGGGATTTCCTATGAAATATTAACAATATCAGATGGGCTTTTTCCTGGTTTTACTGAATGGTTCTTTAGGATCAGAAAATCATCCCATGCTCTTCTTCTTCATCCTTTATTTAGTTGTGGACTGCCAAAATTACAACCCAGCTCATTCCAGGCCCAGAGGTGTAGCTGTGTTAGGAAGGAGATTGTGGTACAGTGGAAAAATGCCAGCCCAGACCTTCCAGAGACCCTTAGGAAAGGTCTGTCTCAGATCCCTGCCTATGACAAAAAAAACTTCAAACAGTACTGTGGGAATATGTGAGAAATACGCCTTTGCTTGCAAATGTCACCGTTTACTGACAAGACACTATGGCAGAGGAAGGTTAAGATTTTTTTACTCATGGATAAGGAAAAGGTTTAATGTAAAAGAGGGGAGTGGAAGTCCAGAGTGGATTTCTTTTTAATTCTTCAAGGTTACTTTTAAGTATCATAAAGATGGGCCACCTACAGTTTGTTTGTTGCTCTGGAGTTTTTGTCTTTTATTATGCTGCAGAATTGCTGAGTTTCTTCAGCTAATCATGATCCTCTCTGTCACTTCTTGAGACTTGATAAAAATAAACTGTGTTTTCTGTGTAAAGAATGGACAATGAACAATGCTCAGGATAACACCACTCCCTATTTCTGCACTGCTGTCATCCAAGGAGGGTAACAGCCTGCTTAATAAACTGGGGGCAAAGTCTGCCTTGTGGATATGCAGCTTTTCTTGAGTGCCTCGAAGAGTGTGGATGTTGTTCACCTTGTGCACATATCCCTCACTAGCTGCATTTCAGCAGCAGGCAATCTCTGTGGGGAAAACACAGCAGTCTTTCCCATTCTGTGCCACCAGGATTACACAAAGGAAGGGAAGTGAGGAATACGTCATTCAGCTGAAACTACAGAGAAAATTCAGGAAGAAAGAAAAACATCTGAGCTGGAACATAGCCACATCTTAGAGGTTAACACCCTACTTCTGTGAAAAGTGCCGTAGTCATAGCAATAAAAAAGTGGTCACAGTCCTCATGTTTCATACAAAGGAAGGTTTTTCCATTCAATTTCCATTTTAAAAACTCAAAATTCAGAGCAATGCTGTTCTTTCTAGGCACTCTAAAATTCTGGGTAAAATCTGCAACAAATAGGATGCCTTTTTTGGTTAGGAAATCTTAAAAAATGTGGTGTGTGTCAGAATCCAGTGAGTAAATGAATTAGAAACTCTCAGTCTATGGCTTATTTGTGAATCATTTCTTTGCATACCTTACTAGCCATTACTCATACTCTGTGGTCGATTCCTTAAGGCTTTGTCTTTACTGCAAAAGGGATCCATTCTTCACTACAAGCTACCTGGGCCAGATCAGCTTTGCTTTCTGCAGCTGCATTTTTCTTTGAGTTTACAGAGACAGAAACTGCTGAGCCTTTCTTCCATTAGGATTTAAGCTGGGATAGCCAGTTGGAGAAAGACAGCAATTTTAATGGAAAAAACCCACAGAGCTTGTTTTGGGTTTTGTTTGCTTTGCAGCGAACATGTCATTTTTGTCCAAGACATTGTTTCAGCTCCCTAATTGAATGACGGAAATTTTTTAAGCAGAACAATGAAATGGCCTTCTTGTGAAAAAAAATTCTGGTTGCTATCCAACTATTTGTGAATAATTCCGATTGTAGAAGTCAGAGTAAAAACAAACTCTTTAAATTATTTGTGAATACATTTGTATTTTGTATTTTTTCAATAGATTCTGCTTATTACCACACTTGGGCAGTGCTTTGTGAAGAGAAGGGCATCTTATTTACTGTCCAGCATCACCAATTTCTCACGCATTTGATCATACTCAGTATGTAGTCATGCGCCACACCAGCTCAGCTTTCCTCCATCTTATGCTCCATGAAGCTTGAACTCATTTGATAAGAAACAAGATACCTAGAGGCAAGAAGGAAGGCCTAGTTAAAAATATAAGTGAATTAAAAGCTCACTTTTTGAATGCCTTTTTTGTTACTTAAAATCTGCCTGTCAAGTGAGGTGACATTCAGCATGAACTGGATCTCAGAATCTCAGCCTTAGTCATTTCTGCTTAATGCAATAACATCTTGAATGAAATAGTTTATTTCCTGGCAAAGGGCTTAACAGCAAAATTAGACTGTGTTCTGGCATGGCACTTAAATTGCTTTCCAGAAAGCTTGTGATTATCTTCTGAAGCTGGCTGAGCCAAGGGTCTGTTCTTTATCAGTGCCTCTTGGTCTATTCTGTCCTTTTCATTCAAGGTACAGCTTCACCAGTGCTGAGGACAATCTCTGCCCTGGTCCTGCTGTCCACACTGTTGCTGATACAGGCCAGGATGTCATTAGTCTTCTTGGTCACCCGGGTACACTCTGGTTCAGGGTCAGCTGTTGCTGACAAACACCCCCAGATCCTTTTACCCTGGGCAGCTTTCCAGCCATTCTTCCCCCAGCCTGTAGCACTGCCTGGGGTTGTTGTGACCCAAGGGCAGGACTGAGCATTTTGTTCTATTGATCTCATACAATTGGCCTTGGCCCATCCATCCAGCCTGTCCAGATCCCTCTGCAGAGCTTTCCTGCCCTCCAGCAGACCAACACTACCACCCAGCTTGATGTCACCTGCAAGCTGAGGGTGCACTTAATCCCCATGTCTAGATCATCAATAAAGATGTTAAAAAGGACTGGCCCCAGCACTGAGCCCTAGGGAACACCACTGGTGACTGGCTGCCAACTGCATCTAACTCCATTCCCCACCATTCTCTGGGCCATCCAGAGAGTTTTTAACACATAGTGCACCCATCCAAGCCATTTCTCCAGGGGAAGGCTGCGGGAAATGGTGTCAAAAGCTTTACTAAAGTATCAGTGTGATGGAAGAGATGTTAAAGCTTCCATTGTTGCTGGTTATGTAGTCCCTGTTTCTACACTGTCTAAAAAGACTGATAATTCTGTAAACATGAGTTTATGAGATCAACAGCCTGGCTATGTAAAAGAGAAAACAACTTTCATTATCAAGATAATAAATCAATCACAAAGATCTATAAAATTACTTTCTTCTGCCCTTGAGACAAATCCATATTTACAAGGGTAAGTCATCTCCACACCATTCACTTTTTAGCCCATTATCTTGGAAATGTGCACAAATTTATAGAAAACACCATGTGGTCTGAGGTTTGTGACAAACATTCCCATGTAGGTAAATGGGATTACAAGTGTGAAACATTCTTCAGTGTGCCACTGGCCAGTCTTGAAATCATTACAACATGCAGCCTAGAAGTGAATCCCTAGGAGGTGAATAACTTCAAATCCTTTCTATTAATCCCTTGAGCTGATCATGTCCTTTCCTCTCTTGGGCATGAATGAATAAATTAATATCGCAGAATGCTTTAAACAACATCTAAGGATTTTGCATATGCAGGTAAAACATGCAAAACCATCAAAGGAAGAACAGAGAAGTCCAGAAGAATGTGAGCAATTTAAACTTAAGCAGTTTGCTAGAGAAAAGACCCTTGCTATGGTTTGTTCCGTGCTCCTGGTGAACTCTACAACAAGAATACCAACCTGATTAATTCTGGAGATTGTTCAATATAGGATAAACTTAATACAAACTTTTGTTCAGTTGATTAGAATCATGGAATTGTTTAGGTTGGAAAAGACCTCTAAAATTGTAGTGTCCAACCATTAACCAAATACCACCATGCTCACCATGAAATGTTGTCCCCAAAAGCCACATCCACATGCCTTTTGAATACTTCCAGGGATAGATATTCCACCATTTCCCTAGGCAACCTGTTCCAATGCCTGACACAGGATTAACAACAGGGTATTGAGTTAAGGGAAGAAAATAGCAAGAACTGCTGCTTGTATGGTGTTGTAAGAAAAATGCTTCAATTTTGATCTGAATTGCTGACAACTCTAAAAAAGTTCACGTGTGACTGGTTCCAAAGCTGATGTCTACAGAGAAGTTACTGGCAGTGCGCCGGGAACTTGATCTCCTCTCCCTTGCTTTCCAGCTACTAAGTTGCTTTAAAGGAGAACCTAAAAATACATCAAATGCTTCCTGATAAATAATTTTCCACATACACCATTTCTGTACTTGTCATAGGGCTATTATGAGAGTGAAATGTTCTACCAGCCACTCTCTCTCTGCTAAGGTGCCCAACACATAATGACTGTGTTTGAAAGTCTGGGATTTGAATGTCAGTACATCCAAAGCAGAGGAAACCCATAGAACTACATAGCTCTAACTGGGATGTGGGAAAGCTTCCTGGTTTAAAGAAGTAATAATAATAAAAAGCTTGTGAAAACTGGTAACTTCACATTTATGCCTGGTGTTATGTGATCCTTCCTCCCTTTGAGGTACAGAGGATACCTTGTTCTACCTTCAGAAAACATCCGGCTCAGTGGAAGGAGGATGTTTGTTCTGTTCTTCTGAAGAAGTTTGAAGTAGAGCCCAGTCTGGGGCCCCTGATGAAAGGCTTCATGATGCCACACTCCCTTGAGAAGATTTTGAAGGAACCTAATTTGCTGTGAGATACAAATGAAACCGTTTACAACAAACAGGTTTTTCCCTTTTATGCATAATGCAATCCTCCTTTTAAGTTGGTGGATTCCTGTCATCCAGTTTTGCTGAGTCACAGCTGACTTGTTGTGTATATCCAATAATAAAGCTAAAAAAATTGAGAGCCCCAACTAGCATGGCTGGGTTATTTGCAATTACAAATGACCACAATTCTCAAATTTGGTGGGCAAAACTTTGGTTTTAGCAAGATGTTTCTCAGCTGATCTAGGCAGAGATTTTTAAGCCTGATGTCATTCATTGTTTCTTCATGACAACTGCAGAAGGTTTAAAGAGTTTGTCCAATTTACATTTATCCTGGAAAAGAGATTGGAGAAATCGCATAAGTCTTACATAAAGTAAACAAAAATTGTGTCTTAATCAATTTTTTAAAGCATTTTTGTCCACCATTTAAGGTAGAATTTTTATTTATTTCTGTTGTTGCTACCCATTAACTCCAATTTCTGACACATATCCTGAAGAAAACCATATCTATTCAAGATCCCATGCCTTATGTTGCTGAAACTGCTGAAAAATTCTCTGCTGCAAGAAAGGAGAAAGCTGATTTCCAGGTTTTCAAAAGACAAACAACAGTCAAACAAATTCCCAAACAAATAGATTGTGATGCCTCTGAAAATATACAAGTTAAACCATCTCTGTCTCAGATGCCAGGTTCCTGTAGAGTTATAACCATGACAGTTTATCTTTCTACACTGCACCACTGTGAGAAGATCATTGGTGCTGTGTGTGTGTCATATTCCCCCAAAACTACAATATTGTCTTCTTTATCTAATAACCAGCCAGCTGAGGCCATGCTTGGCTGCTGTTGACATCAGTGATTCGGCTGAAAGAGCTAAACAGTTAAATGCCCAAAAGTGCTCACCCATGGCAAAACATCCCACCAGTCATAGCTACTTTAGCTTTACCAGAGCAGAAACAGGGTCATAAACTTGTCCCATATCATTCCCATCCTGCTAATGATGAGTTCAATGAAGATGGCAGCTTCTGACTGTAAATGCAGAATAGAAATAAAACAGATACCTAGACACCCAAGGGGTTTTTTTCAGACTGTTTGTCCTGTAGTGATGGTTCTCATGTCTATACTCCACTCTGGTAAGACCACACCCAGACTACTGCATCCAGCCCTGGACTCATCAGGAGGAGGAAAGGCATGGACCTGTTAGAGCAGGTCAAGAGAAAAGCCACAAAAGTGATCAGAGGGCTGGAGTACATCTCCTGTGAGGAAAGGCTGAGAGGTTTTTCAGTCTGGAGAAGAAAAGGTTTCAAAAAGACCTTACTGCAGCCTTCCAGTAAAGGGGGCTTACAAGGAAGACTGAGAGAGACTTTTGACAAGGGCATGTAGTGCAGAACAAGTAGAAATGGAGTTTCTGAAATAGGGCAGGTTTAGATTAGATATTAAGAAGAAATTATTTCCTGTTAGAGTGGTGAGACACTGGCACAGAGAAGTGGTAGATTCCCCATCCCTACAAACTTTCAAGGGCAGGCTGGATGGGGAAGGAAGGA